GGGTGGTTTTCTACGGATCTACAAGGTGGATCACAGAAGGAAAAAAAACCCACAACTTGTTACTCTTGTAATTAATCAGGAGCAGTAGGGAAGGAGTACAGGAAGCCTTGCACAGAGAGGGTTAGTACAAGAGCTGTTTATTACTATGACTAAATCAGGCAGATGCACCCAAAACAAGGTAAGAGAAACGAGATGTGTATATTTTGGGGAAGAGGTTTGATTGCTGCAGACATTATCCAGGCATTCCGAATCAGAGGGACAACGACGCGATGAAATCTCTCCGTAAGAAGTGTCTGACGCAGAAGGAGCTTCCTGGCAGGTTCTGTTACAAAGGCGTGTGCTCCGTGTGGTGATTCCTCCTTCCCAAGCTCAGCCACAAACCAGTTCAGAGAGCAGAGAAGCAGCCATCTCCTCTGCCACGCCGTCACGCCACGGGGATGAGGCAAGAGGGACGATCCCAGACAAGGAGGATGCTTGATGTTAGAAGAGTTTGTTATTTCCACAAAAAATTTGGCCAGTCTGTGGTGTTGCAGAAATCTGGAATTCATGTTTTTGTTATCTGCAGCTGTGCAGACAGCTGTGTACCTCACTGTCTTCTCCCCTCACACTCCCTTTGTGAACTCCTCAGAGCTCTTTTCTGCCCAGGGCAACATCATTCGGTGCTTTTCAGTCTTGGGGTCACTGGCCTCCCTTTTCCTTGCCACAGTTTTTGTGGTTTGTCTGCTGTCCGTGCCTTTTTGCGGTGAGAAAAATACCGTTATTAATGTAGCACCTGGCTATGACAGGAAGATTCTGGGACTAATCCTGCATTCCATTTCCAGTCTCACTGTGGCTTTGGTGTGCAAACTCGGGTCTCGATTAAATTCAAAATGTATTTATTTAATGCCCAATGATTCTCCCCTTCTGCAGTGTCTGTGACACTCAAATAACGACTGTGAAGGAGGATGATTTGGGGGGGGACAGGTCAATGGAAAGCAGTGGCATCAGGGCACCCACCTCCCTGGGAAATGCCAGCCCAGCCTCTGAAACAAAGAGCACACCAGGCTCCCCAGTGAGCCAAGAAGTCAGGAACCATTAGCGAATTCCTGACCAGGGCTTTCTCTGAGTTCAAAGGAGTTGTTTTCCTTTGAAGTTCCAATTGCTCCAGAAGCACTACCTAGGCAAGTCTGTGAGTCACCTACAGTATAGTGCTCGTCATCCCACTGCATCGGTTCTAAAGGTGCTTAGGAAAAGTTTAAAACATTAATTCTCCAAAAACAATAAGCCCCTTGCACACAGTTTTCACACAGAAGTTTGGTTTAAAAAGAACTGCTTTTTTTCCCTTTTAAAAAAAGGGTTTAAATTTGTTACTAATAAGTGTGTTCAGTCATTTTATGAATTACGTGTTTATTCCGTGCCAGCTCCTCAGCTTCACCTGGCTACAGGCAAGTTCTGCTTAACAAGGAATATTTGGGAGTGCAGAATTTTAGTGTAAGAAATCTGAGCACAGCCAGGAAGGATCTCCCACACTTCATGGTTCTGTGAAGTGGGATAAATACCTTACTGTGGTGTATCGTTTTGGCCTTTGGTGTAAGTTCTTCTGCAAATCCCTGGGACAGGAGTAAGGATAGAAGTAGTACACGGGAAAAAATCCAAGAAAGCCTTTGATGTCCTTGCTACAGTGGGAAGCTGTGACTCTCATGCTCCAGAAGGGGAATGTTCATGACCCAGGTGACAATCTCGGCTTTCTAACATGCAAAGCTCTGCAGTTCCACACTGGCCTCTGGTTTCTGAAGTTCCCCCTGGTGGTTACTTTCATCCCTACACAGCAGCGCGGTGCTTTGCAAACCCAACAGGACTCAAAAAGTGAGAAAACTTCACTGAAGGACTTCCCCAAGCAGTTCCTCTAAACTATGGATGGATGTGCCCTCGGGCTGGCTCTTGGAGCTGGCCTCCCTGCTGTGCCAAACCTGCAGCACCCACCGGTTCTCGTGGCACCATGAACACTCCCCTGCAGCACTGAGGCTCCTAAGAGGGCAGGAAATCATTCCTCATACCTGGTCAATGGGGACATCCACCCTTGTGCGTTCATCCTCTTTTGTTTCCTGGGCACCTCGCATCTCCTTCCTGGGATCTCTGGCTTTATAGACACTCTCTTCTGCCAGGAGAAGAAAAGAAAACAGCTGTTCAATGGGTATTGCAGATAGCCACGGCCTGGTCCTGCTGAGGCTACAGAAAGGTCCTCGTATGTGCCCAGACAAGGAACTCGTGGCACCATGAACACTTATGGGATGCAGAAATGCAGAAGTTATGGGATGCATCACTGCTTGCTTTCAGTGCATCTGCAGGTATTTTGTCCTTCAGCATCAAAGTAAAGCCAGTCTTCCTCTACGCTTACAGCAGTGTCCATTACCTTGATCAAACCAGTGTCCATTACCTTGATCAAACCAGTGCTGCACATTCCTGTTGCTCCTTCTGTTTTGTCCTGCACGGACAGGTTTAGCGTGGAAAACGGACTCTTCCCCTTGGAGGTGAGATTTCCTGGCTTGCCTTTGCCGTTGTGGAAAAGCAGCTGGGATCTTCTCCTTCTCCGCAGCTCCTGTGGTCTGCACCCTGTGACTGTCCAGCTGCAAGTATTCATCACACACATCTGAAAGGCCTTCTCGAGAAAGCAGTTTATAAAACCAGAGGAGGTTTGCAGGGCACTCCGCTAAACACCACAGCTTTCCCCTGTGACCCCCAGTCCTGACTGGTACGAAGCTGTAACACTGCACTCTCTGACCGGGGTTTTAAGTTGATACTACAAGTGAAACAGGTACAGGGAACACATAAACCCCTTTTTGCAGTCACTGCTACCTGTTGAGGTGGTTCAGCAAGAGCAGAGTCACCAGCACTGACCTGGGAGGCAGCGCAGAGCCCACCAAACTGAAAACAAACAAGAGGAGGAAAAGGAAATGTTAGAAGCAGAACAGCACTTTGAAAATAGTGCAGATGTGCTTTTCAGTGGACAATCCAGGACACGTTGGGCATTTTACCCACACGGTGAGCAGGAAAGGTAGGGTAGCTCCAGGACGAACTCTCCTTACCCATCAGCCAAAAAGGAGGAGAAACAAGTGAGGGCACCTTCAGGAGTTTCTCATCAGGCCGTGAGATTTGACTCAAGTGTGAGCTGGCCAGGTAGCTGTCTCTAGCTCCTCTCTTTTGGGAACTGTGCCCAGCAAGGATGCTGTAGCCATGGCAACTGGGAATGGAGACCCTGTACACATCCTCTGCTTACGGATGGATGTCTGCACAAAAGCAACTGCTTCCACAGCACACCCAGTCCCGTGCCAGCCGAGCCACCTACCCCTCTGCGGTGCTTTTTGCGCCTGCTGTTCGGGCGGTTCCTGTAAGAAAGAAGCAGCAGATTCTCAGCATCAGGCAGAAGTCAGCTGCAGGAGAAGGTGATCTCCCTTTTTCCCAGAAGAGAGAGCCCCTGGAGGCGTTTTTTCTCAGCGCAGGCAGAGCACTCTGCGCAGCAGCACACATCCCTGTTACACCACACTGCCCACCACAGGCCTGTGAGATTCGATGCCCAGCCTAATGGGCAGGTGCTCCTCAGTGTTTGATGAACACTTAACTGAGAAACAACCAAACCACTTGTTTTCTCTGGTGGATTGGGATTTCAGGGGCTAACCCTTACACCAAAAGCTTCGAAAACACCTTATTTCTTCTTAAACTTTCGACACGTGCAGCGAAACTCAAGTCTTGAAGCAGACAGCACTGAACGGGAGGGCTACAGAGAGGTTGGCTTTAGCTGAAGACCACCATGGAGAGGATTCTTTAAAGACTCAGACACAGCCTGCGTACCGCAGCGTCCTGCACGCAGAATCCCGGGGCACCAGCAGCTCCAAGTAAGGCAGTTTTTTGTACTCCTCATTTCCCACCGCCACGTAGTAACCGCCGCTCGCCACCTCCTCTCCGCCAGACACCCGGGTTCCATCCAGCCTGCAGAGCCTCAAGGAAGAGATAGCAAAGGGTTTAGAGCTCTCAGAAGACCCTGAGCAACCCCTCAGCGTGAAGAAGTGCAAAGTGGTAAACAGGACCAAGAGATGGCGGAGAGAATCGGTCATTCCTAGTGCTACTCCAGGGAAGTACACAGAGCATTACACCCAGTGAGATGCAGCAGATCTCAGCCTTCTCCTTGGGCGTCAGTAACTGGATGTAGGAGAAGGTTGGCTGTGTTTGTTGGATAAAAGCCCCTCCCTCTAGACATAAACTCCTTTTTATGCCAGGCTTTGCTGTTTGCTTTTTCACCAGACCACCAGCAACATCAGCCCTCCTCACAAAGCACCCAGGACCTTGGTGGTGTCACTATTTAAAGATGGGAGAACCTGAAAATCCAACGAGCTTGCAAAAGCAGGCTAGAAGTGGCTGTCTGAATTCCCTGTCCTCCGTGCTAATCTGAGCTGCTCGTGTTCTGGACGTAAGGAAAGAGGAGCCAGCAGTGCCTTATCCGATACCCACTTGTGAACAGCTCCGCTGCGCAGGCCAGCTTTCTTTGTCAGTGTGCCCAGGAGCACGTCCCACTGCAGCGGAGTGCTCTCGGAGAGTGGCAGTGGGAAGGGAGGGCTCAGCAAATCCCCATTCCGGAAAACACTGCAGTAAAAACAACCCAGAGCATGCCATGAGCCGGTGTTCCCACAGCTGTGGAAGATGGGGAGAAAAGCCAGCCACTGGTGCCTGGACGATATTTACAACAAATCTTTCTGGTAGAAGTTGGGAATTGTCCCTGTGGGGCAGCACTCCTGGGATCTCACAGAGAAATTCCCTCTTCCAGCCTCTGAAAACATTCCCAGAGACCCTCCAAGGAGGAAACACGAAGGCACTTACTGTATCACGCAGGGCAGGTGGGCATGCTTCTGCCGTCGCGCCAAGACGTCCGACTTCCAGGGAGCTGCAGTGCGGAACTAGAGACCGAGTTCAGTGCACAAGAACAGGGACAGCCCTGGCACCCAGCCTGGCACCCAGCTTCCCAGGGCTGTTCCCTTTTCTCCATCAGGAGCTGCCTGTCCTGGGACACCTCCTGCCCTGGGGGACTCCGCTGGCCCCGGGACACTGCTGGCTCTGGGGGACACCTCCTGCCCTGGGGGACACCGCTGGCCCCGGGACACCGCTGGCCCTGCCTTCACGCTTGCTGCTGCTAGGTGGGGTTTGTTGTCAGCAACACCAAGGCTGGAGAGGCTCTTCACGTAGCTGAGTGCGTTCCAGAATCACCAGTGAACCTCCGAGCACAGATCCCTCCCTGCACCATTAAGGGGGATGAAGGCACACAGCAGCAGCCACCGCGCTGCCTCACATGTCCCACTGATTATGGTGGCACTTTCTCCTCATCTCCACTGGGCACCTCGCAGCCTCTCAACTTTAGTTTCATCACCCCTCGTGCCTCTCGCACCTCCTGGCTCATTCTGCGCTCCCCCCCAGCTCAGGGACTCACCTGCAGACCCTGGCTGTTCCTCATCCCACGTTGCACCTTCCTTCCAGGATTTAAGTAGCTGTGAGAACAAGACCACGATGTTGCCACACACCAGCTGGGCCATGGCTGACTGAAGAGCAGCGAGGAAAACCGCTCTGCTTGGAGCATCGCCACCGGATGCGCCGGTCACTTATCTAGGTCACTTCTGAAACAGTTCTCCAGGTGCCCCACCTCATGGTCTCCCAGAACTCCAGTCTAAATTAAAGTCTGCTACGTTTAAGGAATTCCCAGCCCAATACAGACCATCTCAGATCCCCATGCTAAAGACAACCAAAACATTTTATTCCTTTGTGTGGTTCACTAATGAAGGCTCCAAGAGCCTTGAGAGTCAAGTGATGCCACAAAAACCTCTTTAACCCTCTGTATTTCAGGATGAGCCAAAACAACTCACTTTGTGCAGGATCAGGAAACAAAAAACCTCCATCAAACCAAAGTAAAACATCTCAGTGGAGACGGTGGGACCGGCAGCTGTGCCAAGGAAGCGGGCAGCAGAACCTCCCCCACACCACAAAACAAGGTGCGCGGAAAGCAGAGCAGCACCCATCACAACATCCTGTGAGAACCGTGCCTCCCTCAACGTGTTTTCTTCTGAAAGCCAAGCGACCTTATCAGGAATATTTGCATTTTCCATGCGATCTGAAGCATGTCCAGTAGTTTCCAGTAGGAAAAGAAGCTAACCTGTCTCTGTTTTTCATTGGGTTTGTACCCCTCTCAGCTTTTTTCCATTCACACCCCAGTACGTTCCCCCCAGAGGTGATGGGAAGCTGCTTACCACACCCAGAGACCAAAGCTCTGTCTACTCACTCGAGCCTTTTGAACTTTTCAAAGCCCGCAGCCACATACTGGCACCCATCCTGCAGGTCCCCCAGCTCAGCGACGCGGCGGCCGTGCCTGGGCGTGTAGAGGTTCCTCACAGCCAAGGGTGCACGAATGCTCGTGGTCACCTCGTTCAGAAACGCCTCGAAGGTCAGGAACCGCCGCTGGTTCACCACAAACTTCCTCCCAGGGAAGAAGGGGTCACCGTTGCGATACACCACGACGTTCTTGGCTGGAGGTGCCAGAGCTAAGCCACGGGAGCTCATCCCCTGGGGGTCAAGCCAGCCCCGCTGATCACAGAGGCAAGCAGACCAGTGTGAGGCACAGAGGAGAGCTCCAGCCAGCCTCCTGCTGAGCCCAAGCCCTGCTGACCAGCTGCTCTCACGCTCTGCTGTCCCTTCCCAGTGCGGTCTGGCGTGACTGCCTGTCTCCATGGATGCAGGTGCAACAGGAGGAAGTTGTGGGCTCATCTGGAGCCACATGAAACAACCTGCAGAGCACCTTGCTGTTTGAGAACCAGGAACCACACAGCTCTAATCCTCAAATGCCAAAGTAC